TTCTGTCTCTTTGGTCAGATAAATTCTCTCCTTTCCTCTTCTCCCATGTATTCACCCTGAACAATCCAAGTTTTCTCATGGCTCTATATAGCTTGTTAATGTACTGGCTTGTGTTTGCTTTGTCTCCTTATATGCCTTACTTCCCTTTAACTTCTTCATATCCTGGCATGAACGCTTTCTTCCCAAGTGTCAGCTTGTACCTTTGCCCAAGGCTTTTTTTTTTTTTTTTTTTTTTTTAAAGATTTTATTTATTTGACAGAGACACACAGCGAGAGAGGGAACACAGCAGGGGGAGTGGGAGAGGGAGAAGCAGACTTCCTGCAAAGCAGGGAGCCGGATGCAGGGCTTGATCCCAGGACCCTGGGATCATGACCCGAGCCGAAGGCAGACACTTAAGGACTGAGCCACCCAGGTGCCCCAAGGCTGTCTTTTTTGAGCTGAAACAATGGCTTCTAAATTTGGCCACAACCTATAATAAATATATTTTATTTTATAACCATGTGTGTGTGTGTGTACACACATATATACTCATAAACATATCTGAAATGAAAGTTTTGGGAAGTACCCTTACCATTACTCGGAGTCTTATATTTTAACTTTTTTTCCCTTATCCTGTTTTATTTTTAAAATGTTGTTTATAACGCACTATATTGCTGGACCAAAGGGTTAGGCATTTGTAATTTTGTTAAGATACTGATACATTGTTCTAAATTTGTACCAACTTATACTCCCACCAGCAATGTATGAGAGTAATGTCAAAGCTGAGAAGTGCTTTCAAAATTCTACCCCTAGAGGATGTGACTCATCAGTGTTCTCAAACTTGATGGGCACCCATCCTGCTTGGGAATAGAATATCTTGTGCTTTAACTACCTTTTTAGTAGTGGTAGTAGTAGTGGTAGTAGAAGGACAAAGAAAGAAACCTGTGGGTTAGTTGAACTTTTGGGATTCCATCTTGATTGATCTATCATGTTTTGATTGTATCTCTTTGAATAGCTTTTTTATGGTTGCTCTAGATATTATTTTATATATACATAATTTATTGTAGCCTGCTGGTTGTTAAGTCCCTTTATCCCCCCTCCATTTCTAATATATTGCCTTTTATATTTTTTCTGCATATTTTGAGAACCATATCACACAGTGTCATCATTTTTGCTTAAGCCATCAAAAATAATATAAGAGAAGGAAAGTCTATTGTATTTACCCGTATTCTATTCTTTCCATTCTTCCTGATTTTCCAATACTCCTTCTTTTATCATTTTTTTTATGTTTGAAGAACCTCCTGTAGCTATTGTTCTAGGGTAGGTCTACTGGTGACAGATTTCCTTAGTTTTCCTTCATTTGTGGGTGTTTTAATTTCCCTCTCTTTCCTGAAGCAAATTTTGTCTGGATACAGGATTCTGGGTTGGCAGTTCTTTTTTTTCCAGCACTTGAAAAGTGTTTCTGGGCATCAAAAATATGAATGTAAATTGAAATTTAAAATGTTTATTAACTTTACCATAATGGTCTAAGTGTTAAAGAATTTTCTTCTAAATTATAATTACTATGATTAGGATATAAATATATTCTTGATTTTGCTTATTAAATAGTTTTTAAACATAAAAAAAACATGCATCTCTTTAGAGGGGATTCTCTTTTCATGGAATTTATGTATCCACGGATGAATATTATGTTAGAATGAGACTGGTTTTTGTGGAAATTAATAATAAAAAGAAAAGATATTAGGATATTATGAGGTTTACAAAAGATTATTGATAACTTTTTATTAAGTATATCATTTATAATAGAATATACAGTATATTCCTGATAAATTAATGTGTATCTAATAAGTTCACATAGGGATGAAAAACTGAGCAAAGAATTGGTTGATATGTGACAGTATGAAGGCTTGTCCAGATTAGAAAAAAAATATGGGGGCGCCTGGGTGGCACAGTCCTTAAGTGTCTGCCTTCGGCTTAGGTCATGGTCCCACGGTCCTGGGATAGAGCCCCACATCGGGCAGGAAGCCTGCTTCTCCCTCTCCCACTCCCCCTGCTTGTGTTTCCTCTCTCGCTGTGTCTCTCTGTCAAATAAATAAAATCTTAAAAAAAAAAAAGGATTTACTGTGTCCAGTATTCTTTCGACAAAAGTTAATAAAACTGTTTCTCAATAAAGAATATAAAACACTAACTTTGGTGTTTGCTACTTGAAAACATGCTGTTGAGGGGCACCTGGGTGGCTCAGTCGGTTAAGCGTCTGCCTTCGGCTTGGGTCATGATCCCAGGGTCCTGGGATCGAGCCCCACGTCGGGCTCCCTGCTCAGCGGGGAGCCTGCTTCTCCCTCTCCCACTCCCCCTGCTTGTGTTCCCTCTCTCACTGTGTCTTTCTCGGTCAAATAAATAAATAAAATCTTTAAAAAAAAAAAAAAAAGCATGCTGTTGATTTGACAGAAGTAAGAGCTCTCTTTTTCTTTTCTTTCGATAAGTGCTCTTTCCAACTCGTTAAATCCATGTAAGGTATCTTCAGTTCACAGATAAAAAACACAGGTGGCTGACAGAGTGTATTGATTTCTTTGTCGTTTTTTGGGAAATGGTGAAAGTACAGATCTTGAATTCTAATTCAAGATGCTTTCCAGATCTTGAATTCTAAATAATTCTAGATAAGTTATATAAGGAGTCTAGTCATAAGCTTTTTACGTGGATGAACTAAATTATAACACTCTTCAATATTTATCATCACTGTTTTCATTGGATTCTCTCTCATGTGAGCTTCTTAATCAAAAGTTTTTCTTCTCACCTCCCAAAGTTGTAGCAGCCCATTTGGGCCAAAATACCTCCTTTTTAATGTCAGGTATTATCATTAACAGAAGTGTAAGGTATAGGGAAAGACAAAACCACCTTAGAAATATGGTGCTTCCATTAAGGGTGTTCCCCTGATATCAGTATTTCAAATTACTTCTTTGGTGTTTTGGATGTTTTTACAATTCAAGGAAATGCATTGTAGTGAGATGTTAGATGTTTGAGAGATCTTTCTCTTGTGAACTGGAAGAAGGAGGATTATAAAATGTAGAGTGTAGGAAATGTAGAGTGCAGGAAAGGAGAAACAAGTATAATGCTCTGACCTTGATATTAATTCTAGTAAATGGTTGGTAATTCTGGAAATTAAGGATCTGGAAATTGATTCCCTTAAAACCATCTGATCCCCAGTGTGAAGACTGCTGGATTAAGGTTTAATCTTTCATCACTAGATTATAGTCTTGAGTCTAATGCTGCATAATATTCATATACATTTTATTTTCATTACTGTTAACTTCCTTAAGGACCTTTATCACTGTGCACTGATTATTACTATTTCTCTATGCTCTCTTTGAGTGAGGATTCTTTTTCATTCTTCCTGAGTATACTCCTCAGTGGAACAGTTTCTTATTCTCTCTCTCCCTCTTTTAACATGTGTATATTTTTACTCACAATCCACTTCCCTCAAGTTTTGATTCTCTTCTGTTGCATCAGATTTTGTCTGTGTGGTTGTTGGTTCTTCATTCATTCAAAAAAACTTAGGATACGTTGCAAAAATGTAATTGCCCAGGAGTGTCAAACATCATTGTATTTCAATGCCTAAAACTCCATGAGGGCAGGAATTTGGTGTGTTTTTCTTACCACTGGATATGTAGAACATACCATAGTGAGTGAATGAATAAGAACAGGATTTCCCAAACTCTTTCCCTAATAGAACTGCTAGTTTAAAAAAAAAACCAAATTAATGTCTTTTATTTTTGTTAATTGATATTTAAAATGGTACTTCTCTGGTAGAAGGGTAATGAAAATGCTTTTAATATTGTGGTGAGAAATGTTAATGTTTCTGATCATTTTAACTTTAATTGTTAATAAGACTTAATGGCCATGATTGGATAGTTTCATAAAATCATACTGGAAATACAGGGTCATAAAAGTACCTACTTCATAGGGACGTGAGGATTGAGTTAGTTAATACATACGTAAATCACTTATAACAGAGCTTCACACATAGTAAAGTGTTTGGTAACTGTTAGTAATTAAGGATGTTGTGCTCCCTGCTCAGCGGGGAGTCCTCTTCTCCCTCTCCCCCTGTTCATGTTCGCTCGCTCGCTCTCAAATAAATAAATAAAATCTTAAAAAAAAAAAAAGAATGATGCTGAGACTGACTTCTTTCCTATCATTCTGCAGGGGAATTTCTTGATGGTTAGTTGTCCAGTTCATTCATAGGGAGGCTGGCTGTTGGCCCAAGGCAGTCTTCCCTCGGGCCCTTGCAAAAGCTCCCTAAAAGGATCATCCTCCACAAGGATTTTTTCCTCAGCTTCCTTCCCAAGGGCCCCCCTTTGAGCCCTTGAGGCTAGTGGGCTGGAAGAACTTCAGGATGGGTCGTATATTGCAGTCAGGTGATGAGGGTTTAAAATGGGCTCTGCCTTTTACCCCATGTGACTCTGTGACTCAAGGCAAATGGCCACACCTGTTTCCTACCTTATCTATCTCCTCTCAGAGAACGTTCTTTTTATCTCGTTTCTTACTCTGAGCAGCCACACTGCACTTACTTTACTTCCACACAAATGCCATATTCTCTCTCATATCTGGCCATTTGAACATGCTGTTCACTTTGGATGAAACACTTTCTTTTCCCTCCTGCCTTGCTTTATCTGGCTAGATCCTATTCATGCTTACATTAAATGCCCCTCCTTTAGGAGACCATTCCTAACCAATTCCCACCAGACTGGTTTGTATTTCTGCCATGCTTTCCCCTAACAACATCATGATTCTTAAAGCCTTTCATCCCACTTGGAGTTGCCCTACATAGTGAGCTCCCACAGGGGTTGATGGGATCTGACATGTTCATTGCTTCATCCCCAGTTCCTGGCACATAGGAGGCCCCAATTAATGCTGTATACATGCATGGAAAAAAACTACCAGAGATATTGTTGCTTAGACTTTGGCTAACATCTCCACAGCTGCCCTTGTTTTACAGTATTTTTATTTTATTTTTTCCTGTAAAGCCGCTGAAACTTAGAAGCTGATTCTGTCACAGTTTAAGATGCCTTTGGAAAATTCTGCATTCTTCTTAGATGAATCTTTAGAACTTGGTGAGTTTCACTAGATACCTTCAGTTTTCATTTTGAGCTCAGAAATATGCCGTGTTCTTTCTTTTTCTTTTTTTTTCTGCGTAATTCAAAATTATTGGATATAGTGAGGTTTGCACTCTCCTGGCAAGAAGCATAGGACAAAGTATTATAAAAATATTTAGAGCATGATCTGCTACTTGTTTTGATAGCCTTAATTTGTCTTTAGAATTTTAATTTTTTGAGGAGTAAAGACTTATTGATTGGTAAGATAATTGATAGGGAGATATAAAGTATTTTCACTAATTCTTAAAATTTTTCAGTTACTACTCAGAAGTTAGATTTATAACATCTTTTTCTGAGATGAAGGTGATTTGCAAATGACTGAAAAATAAAATAAGAATTATTTCCTGTTATATTTTACGTGTAGCGATAAAGAATTAGTTAATGAGGTAAAGAAGGGCCAGTCACCCACATGCTCTAAAAATATTTAGAGCATGATCTGCTACTTGTTTTGATAGCCTTAATTTGTCTTTAGAATTTTAATTTTTTGAGGAGTAAAGACTTATTGATTGGTAAGATAATTGATAGGGAGATATAAAGTATTTTCACTAATTCTTAAAATTTTTCAGTTACTACTCAGAAGTTAGATTTATAACATCTTTTTCTGAGATGAAGGTGATTTGCAAATGACTGAAAAATAAAATAAGAATTATTTCCTGTTATATTTTACGTGTAGCGATAAAGAATTAGTTAATGAGGTAAAGAAGGGCCAGTCACCCACTGCAGCTCCAGCTTTTATAAGCAAGTCTATCAGGAGTCTGCAAAATACCGAATCCAGCCTGTTGCTTGTTTTTCTATGACCTATGAGCTAAGAATAGTGTTTAAATTTTGAAATGATTAGAGGAAAAGAAAATCTCAAAAGAATACTATTTTGTGATGTGAAAATGATATGAAATTCATATTTCAGCATCTGTGAATAAAGCTTAATTGTAACACAGCCATTCTTTTTTTTACATATTGTGTATGGCTGTTTTCATGTTCCAGTGGCAGAGTTAATTTAAGTGCAGTAGTTGCATCAGAGACCTTAGGGTCCAGAAAGCCAAAAGTATTTACTGTGTAACCTTTTACAGAATAAGTTAGCTGACCTATGCTCTTCATGGTTGGAGAAGTATTTGTAGGTTGAGTGCTAGTAGCTTCATCTTCAAAATAGGGAAAAATAATACCATTCCTCTCTGAAAGCAAGAGTCTTGGGTTTACTAAATTACAAGTTTCCTAAGGGTAGATACCAGGCCTGTTTTTTAAACAATGGATGCCGCCATAGCTATTGTAGGCCTGACACATGGTTGGCACACAGTCAGTGTTGAGTGAAGAACAAGATCTGTTGTAGCTCTGGTACCTATTATATGTATGTATGATCACAGTAATTCTAGTTTCTATAAAGGTTTGCTTATTGGGGCTGGGTGTTTTTTGTTAACTGTAGGAGAGAATTTAAAAACAAAAAAAAAAACTGTAGGAGAGAATTTTGATGAAAACAGTAATTTTCTCTGGATCTATTCTTTATAGATAGCCATCAGATCATTGGCCAGATTTATTTGTCTAAGTTGATTATATATTGTTATTTTTTGAAATCTTAAGAGAGAGGATAAACCACTAATTCAAAAATTACCAATCTCAAAGAAACTTAGAAGCCTCCTTCTTATAAAGCTTTAAAATGTACTAAAAGCTAGTATTAGATAGGAAGATTCATATATTCTCATCTAAGTCCTCTGACACTTCCCCAACTTATCCACTGAATCTCTTTTTTAAATGAACCTTCCTGTATAGTTTGCTCAAGAACCCAGCTTTTAAAATATTATCCTACAGAACACCTTGTAAAGATCAGATAGTTTAAATGACATTTAGTTGAGGAAAACTATTCCAGATTAAAGGAGTCTATGGAGATCGGAAAGCTAATTGGACAGATCCTGTATTGGAGGAGGAGGAAAGCCTTAGAGGACTTCATATGCTCAGTTAAAAAAAAAAAAAAAAATTGGAAAATAGACATTAAATAAAAATTTTGTATAATAAATTTCCTGAAGTTAGTAACTATATTATGGCTATTTAAAGGAATGTCTTTGTTCTTAAGAGGCATATGTTGATGTATTTAGGGGTAAAAGGGTATGATATATACAACTTATTCTCAAATGGTTCAGCAAATGTTTATCCATATATGATAAAAAATGCGAATGTTAATTGATAAATCTGGATGAAATATACATAGGAGTTTTTTTTTAACTATTTGTACGCTTTTCTGAAAGTTTGAAAGTATTTCCAAGTAGAAAGTTTAAAGAAATGCCATTAGCAATTATCAAAAGACCTAGAGATTATGTCCAAATACTGTTGCTTTTAAATTACTATTTACTTTCATTAATAATACACTTACAGTGCTTGTACTTTTTTCAAAGTGCTTTCACACATACTCTGTTTACATGTTGGTACTATTCTGAACAGTATTTGTTTGTTGGGTGGTTTATGATTAATTTGTGGTTGTCAGTGCAGATACTCTGTTCTATATGATTCTTTACTGGATTTAATAAGTTTGACTTCTAAATATTTTATAAAATTAAGTTATTTTATAGTAATGTGGAGATAAAATGAAATAGAACTTTGCAAATGTAAAAACTGGTATGCAAAGACAAAGTCTTTAGAAGTATTCTTTTTTTTAATTTATTTTTTATTTTTTTTTAAAGATTTTATTTATTTATTTGACAGAGGGAGAGACAGCGAGAGCAGGAACACAAGCAGGGGGAGTGGGAGAGGGAGAAGCAGGCTTCCCGCAGAGCAGGGAGCCCGATGTGGGACTTGATCCCAGGACCCTGGGATCATGACCTGAGCCGAAGGCAGACGCTTAACGACTGAGCCACCCAGGCGCCCTATTAGAAGTATTCTTGCTGATTATCTCATCAGTTTTTTCAATCACAAGATCATAGTTAAATACCAATTGGTAGAATTTAGAACTTCAGAAAAATCTTAGGTATAATGCGTTAAATTTTCTTCTGCCTGCTACTTTTCTTTAATGTTCACTATAGCTTGTTTTATTAAAAATCTATTGTGTTCCCTTAGCTCCATAAATATGCTTGGTTTTTAAAAGTAGATCTGGTTTTACTGTCTTACATTTATTATATTTTGACCTTAAATTTATTATATTTTGAAGGAAATTCAAGAGTTAGGATCTATTATAGTATTTCTCAAACTGGCATTAATAATTGATGACCTTTTTGAGCTTTTTATTTAGTGCCAGACATTATATTCTAAGCGTTCTACATTTAGTAATTTATTTCATTTTCACAACAGCCTTATGCTAACACCTTGCCTTGATTTGCTATTCAATTCTAGCTAAAACTGCTGCTAAGCCTCAGTCTTAAGTTTTCTTACCTCTCTTTTTTTTTTTTTTTTTTTTTTGGCCAAATACAAATTATGGAAACTAAGGATTTGGAACTTAATATAGAAAAATTGATCAATAGGGGCACCTGGGTGGTTCAGTCAGTTGGGCGTCCAACTCTTGGTGTTGGCTCAGATCATGGTCTCAGGGTTCTGGGATTGAGCCCAACATTGGACTCCGTGCTCCAAGGGGAGCCTGCTTGAGGATTCTTTCCCCATCTCCCTCTGCCTCCCTCCACTTGCCCGCGCACATTATCTCTGAAGAAAAAAAAGCCATTTTAGAATTTTTAGATTGTAAATAATGGGACGGGTCTAACTTCAGCCTAGACTTTCTATTGCCTTCATAATTTGGGAAGGATCCATGTATCAAGATAATTCTTCAGTAATTGTACTGAAAAGAAGTAAATATGACTTTTAGTATCCAATTAAGCAAACTGATAATAGAAATGTAGTTTTCCTAGACTTGAATTTTACCAAGTAAAATAACCAAAAAGTTAAAAATTTAAAAATTAAGGGACTGGTATAGTATTGCTAACTTTTAAAACTTTTTGCATTGAATTAAACCATGCTTTTTATAAAGTGGATAAATCTTGAATATCCTTTTGATGAAATTTTATGAAGTCAATACCCGTTTAAACAATACCAAGATCAAGAGATAGAATATTTTCATCAATCCAGGAGCCTCCTTCATGCCCCCTGACAGTCAACACACATTTCCAAAGGTAACTATTATTCGCACTGCATTTACTATTCATTAGTATTGTCTAATTAGTATTGTCTATTTTTAAACATCTTTTGACTATCTTTTTTGATCAACATCTTGTATATGTGAGTCACGCATGATGATTCATATAACATTAATTTATTCCTTTTCATTGCTTTGTAATACTTCATTGTATATTGCCACAGTTTATCCATTTTATTGTTGGTGAACATTTGGATCATTATCAGTTTTTGGCTATTACAAACAATGCTGCTGTGAATATTCTTGAGCATGTCTTTTGGTGCACATATGCATGCAGTTTTTTTGTTTTTTTTGAGTAAATATCTAAGAGTGAAATTGTTGATCATGGTATTTCGCTGTTTAGCTTTAGGAGATGCCCCTAGTTTTTGAAAGTGGTTGAATCAGTTTATACCTACCAACAGTGTACAACGGTTCTCACTGCTCTACATCTTCACCAACACTTAAAATTATTAGTGTTTTTTAATAGTAGCTTCTTTGCCGTATATGTGGTGAAAAATTATTGGAGTTTTAATTTGTAATTCCTTGCTAACTTTAAAGATTTAGCACATATTTATATGCTATTGACCATTTGGATATCCTCTTTTGAGAAATGCCTATTCATGTCATTTGACCATTTTTCTGTTGTCTATCTTATGGATTGGTAGGAGTTCTTTATTTCTAGGATAAGTTTTTTGTTGGATTAAGTATTGAAGATATCTGTCCTACTTCTTTACTCTTTTAATAGTGTGTCTTTATTAAGAAAATTTCTTAAATTTAATAAAGTCCATCTTACCAAACTGTTCTTTTATAGTTGGTGCTTTTTGTGTGTTTTAAGAAATCTTTGTCTATCCCAAAGCCAAGAAGGTATTCTTGTATGTTTTCTCTTATAAACTTGATTGTTTTAACCTTTACATTTAGGTTTATGCATGGTATATGGTAAGGTTCCTGGTACATTTTATTTTTCATATGGAAACCCATTTTGTCAAACATTATTTATTGAAAAGACTATCCTTTCCCTATAGTAATACACTAGTGCCTTTGTTGTAATTCAGGTGAGTGTTTATTCATGGGTCTATTTTTGGATTCTTCTGTTCCATTGGGCTGTTGTTGTGCCAGTGCCATACTCTTCTAATTACTGTAGCTTTAAATCCTCCAATTGTGTTCTTCACAGTTGCCTTGGTTTTTATTGGTCCTTTGAATTTCAATAAAAATTTTATATTCAACCTGTCAGTTTTCCTAAATAGATAATCTGCTTTATAGTAAGCAAGTTTAAAAAAATAGTAAGCAAGTTTAATATTATTTAGTATTATTATTGACTAGCTTAATGTGAAATCTGTAGATCATATTAGATATATTAAACATCTTTCAATATTGAGAGTTTCAATACCTTAACTATGGTAGTACCTTGATATAGTTAGGCCTTTTAAAATTTCTCAGAATTTTGTGTGTGGAGGTCTTACACATCTGTTAACTTTTTAAGGTAGGATAATGATATTGTGGTTATGTTTTTTATTAGTCCTTGTAATTTATAGATTCATACAGATGCAATGATACAGTTTTGGGGGCTTACTTTTACTAATGCAAAGGAGGGTGGGAAGGAAGGGAGAAGGGGCATTTTAGATGTAACCAGATTGGCCATGATTTGATAATTGTTGAAAATAGGCAATATGTGGGTTAATAATTATATTATTCTTTTTACTTTTGTGTGTGTTTGAAATTTTTCATAAAAAATGGGTTTTAAAAAATGTAATGACTACAGTAGGTTGATACACAAATACATAAGATTCCAGAAGTTTATCGTAATATTTGAAAAAAAATTCTCACAGGTATCAGGTCATTACTCTGAAAATCATTTGTAAATGAAAGAATCACCCATTTAATGTTTTTCTACACAGATTCTATTCCAGGATAACCAAATAGTTAAGAGGGTAAAAATAGTTTACCTTTATAGAAGAATCATAGCTGGTAAGAAATGCTGAGAAAATAATAGGTTTAGAAAGTCACCACAGTGCAGCTTCTAATGAAATAATGGATCTAGATAATGATCAGTCAATGACTACTAAAGCCACTAGGTGAAAAGTCTGTTGGGACATGGATATAATACAATGGGTAGACCCAAGTTGGAGTAAGCCTAATTCTCCCAACTGATTAGAACTAGAAACTCCTAATGAAATACAAAAACCAACTATTTGAAGACTGAAAATTAATAACAGGCAAATTGAGACGGGAAGTCATAATTTGAAGGGTAGCCTGTATAATTGTGAGTTTATCAGTTTTTTCTTTCCATGACCCAGCTTTGACAAAATGGTGGGCTGAATTGTGGAACTGCACAGTGGGTGTAGCAGTTAGCAAAAAGTTCAAGAGAAACCCCCATTTCTAGCCAGAGAATAAGGAAGAGGGGTCCCCTTATTTTCCTTTTTCTCTATCCAACTTGCCCTAAGACTATCTCCACTTCTAAAATTGCACTGCCACGGCAGCACTAGCACTTAAAACTCTGAGAGAAAATAATTTCTCTGGCCACAGAGGAATTGGGAAAGGGGCTGCTGGAAACTGGAGCATGCTGGGAAAATCTCAGGGAGAAGAGAGCTGAGAGGAGATTCCCTAATTGTGAGTACGAACTCACAAAGGTCCTACCTCACTCGTGAGCTCTACATGCACAGAACAGACCCAAAGAAACACAGCAAAGACTTAGAGAACTGAACTATGTTATAAACCACTATTCAGATCCAGACTTGCCTCTTAGTGTTTCATATAAAGGATAAACCCAAATAATATAGTAAAAGTAAAGGCTTTAAAAACTGAACTGACGACCCACAGAAGGCAATACAGACTTAGAGTAAACTTCAGTAAAAAAATCAAATTATTCAGAAGGGGTTAATAGAATCTGGAATTTTATAACCTAATATTTCAGAATGTCTAGGATATAATCCAGAATTACTTAACATCCCAAGAAACAGGAAAATCTGACCACTTTTTAAGGGAAAAGATAATAAATAGATGCCAAACCTGAGATGATCCAGTGATGGAGTTTTTAGAAAAAGACTTTAAAGCACCTGTTATATCTGTGCTCCTTGAGGTAAAAGTGAACATTCTTGAAATGAATGGAAGCATAGTTCTCCTCTGAAAAATAGAAACCATGTAAAAGAATGAAATGGAAATTTCAGAACCAAAAAATACAATATATGAAATACAAATTCACTGTCTGGGCTCAATAGCAGACATAAATCAATAGAAATCTCAAATCCTGTGTCTTCTGTATCAAGAGTATGTCTCTGTTCTGTAATACTTCTCAAATCCAGGTTGCACTTTGTGAAACCTGGTCATAGGCCTTCTGGCTGTTAATTAGTGTGCCACTCACACATCCTATTTTGTCCTTAATTACTCCTACTTGGATGCTACTGGGAAGATTTGTCTGTGCAATATGAGCCCCATCTCCCTTCTTATTACACAGATTCAGATAGTGTCTTGATCTGCCATTTTCTAAGACTTTAGCATTTCAGGTGAGGATTCGGCAGTCAGTTTGAATCAGTTTAATCGGGCCCCTGGGTGGATCAGTCGTTAAGCGTCTGCCTTTGGCTCAGGTCATGATCCCAGGGTCCTGGGATGGAGCCCTGCATCCGGCTCCCTGCTCTGCTCCCCTTGCTTGTGTTCCCTCTTTCGCTGTGTCTCTCTTTGTCAAATAAATAAATAAAATCTTAAAAAGAAAAAATCAGTTTAATCAGGTTTAAAAAATAGTTAATAGTCAATTGTGAGACCCACATATATTTATTTTAAAGTTTTGAAAGTAAATAGGGATAAGACAGAAAAGTGGAAATGGATAGCATATATATGATTCATACTGCAAAGTCTTACAATGTAAAGGGAGTAAATTTTATCTTAAAGTGTGGATATAATGATTATTTTAGTGAAGAAATGCTGTCTGGTAGTTTTCTGAATAATCTGTGCTTCAGGATGCATCTAAACATATTTGAACTAGTTTTCAGATGGTTGTGAACTTGCTTGGCCTACTTGGCTACACAAAAGCAACCTGGCAGTTTACCCAGGTTTTTTTTTTTTTTTTAAGATTTTATTTATTTATTTGAGACAGAGAGAATGAGAGAGAGAGAGAGCACATGAGAGGGGGGAGGGTCAGAGGCAGAAGCAGGCTCCCTGCCGAGCAGGGAGCCCGATGCGGGACTCGATCCCCGGACTCCAGGATCATGACCCGAGCCGAAGGCAGTCGCTTAACCAACTGAGCCACCCAGGCGCCCTTACCCAGGTTTTAATAGGTCAAAACAACTGCCTATTTTATAAAGTAATTATACTGCAAAAAATTAGAGGAATACTTGTGGCCTTAAAAATTGATAGATTTTTAGTGGCATTTTACATGGGTCTGGTGGCCTCATTGATGAAGTATATAATATGTCAAAGCATTGTTACCGTATTTGTACATACTAGTTTTAAGTTATTAAATATTTCATGAGCTAGCCCTAAGCCTAATATTTTCATAATACTACTTAATAATCAGATTCCTAACAGGTCCCTGGAGATTTTTTATCACTAATGAAATTCTGTACTTCTAGGTTGATGTAATTTATTCATTCATTTTTACCCTCCCTTTCCTCTCCATTCCTCTCCCTCCCTCCCTTCTCCCTCCTCCTCAGATCCATCTCAGAAATTTACATACACCCAGGGGTGCCTGGGTGACTCAGTTGGTTAAGCGACTGACTTTTGGTTTTGGCTCAGGTCCTGATCTCATGGGTCAAGGGATCGAGCCCTGCATCAGGCTCCATGCTCAGCAGGAGTCTGCTTGGATATTTTGTCGTTCTGCTCCTTCCCTCACTCGCTTGCTTGCTCTGTCAAATAGATAAAATCTTGCGGGGAAGAAAGAAATTTACATACACTTGTCTTTTTAAAACAGGCCAATCCATGAAGGATCGGATTTAATTAATCTTTGGACATCTGTTTGACACTTATAAAATTATGTCTTTTTTTAATGCAATTATGTCTTTTTTTTTA